TAGTATAAGATAGTATATATATATTAATAATAATATTTTATATATATTTTAGTAATATTATTATTTGATTGATTTTTTTTTTTTAAGTTACAAATTGATATTTTTAGTTAGCTACTAATTGATTTTTATATATTATGTAATTAGTAAATGAAAAAGTTTTTTTTAATAAAACTTTTTAATAAAAATTTAGGATATCATATTAATTTAAATAATTATATTTTTTAAATATTATTATTTGATTTTTTTTTGGATAAAACTTAACCTCATTGTTAATCACTTAATATAATATAATCAAAAAGTTTTTTTTTATAATGATATATAATTTCATCATTTAAGTAATTTAAATTTTGTGATTATATTATTAGAGTCTATGTTTTTCTTTTAAAATATTATATAATTTTTAAGAGCATAGGTATAAAAAGAATTAGGTTAGGAAAGATGAAAGCAACTTTTAATGTTTTATTTCTGATTAAATCTGAATTAGAGTTAGTGATTTTAATAGTTCTCACAATCAGAAATTATTTGCTAAGAAAGAATAGAATTATGTATCTATTTCTAATTGATTTTTTTTATTTATAATAAGATGTATAACGATGTTCTAATAATTATTATTTCGTTAACTAAACGTAAATATTATTATATTGTCTGCAATTAGAACTTAACAATAATATCATCGAAAAAATAATTATTTTCCCAAATATTATGCAATGTTAATTCATAATATCATAATAATTTTATTTGAGATAAATATCAAGAATAATTAACTCTTTATAATAAAATTAACAAGTCTCTGAATTATCTTTAAAAATAATAGTTTCGTTTATTCAATTTTAAAATTTTAAATAATTTTCTTTTTTTTCACTAATGACTGCTCTCCTTTCGTAACATATCTATTAGAACGTCTCACAACATAGTACTACTAGCATTGCATAAAACGATATTTACCGTTCCGCTCTGCCCCGGTTTCTCCTACTCTCTACACTACAGAACATCCTCCATGCTAGATACTAGATATCGCGCACTTGCTAATATTTCAAAAATCTATTTTACTTTTATTTACAATATCTATTACTTTTCCCTCTTTAAAATATAAATTAAATAATTAAATTTAATTTAAAGAGATTTAATCAATCATTTTTTTTTTTTTTAGGCAAGGGTATATGCAAATATCTCACCGGCCAGAATGGCGTGACAGTGTCCGTTGTTTCAAGCTGTGGATCCGTACTAGGCTGTGGAAATGCGAATATCGTATCTACTACGGGAATCGGTAACAATACCGGTACGCAGAGCATCGGTATTAATGTTCTAAGCCAGAATGCGGCAGATGAAGATGCTGAGGACAGCGATGTCGAGATAAGCAAAATTGACTTCCGAGGAGTAAATTTGCGCACGAAGAAGAAGCGAGATGTATCGATTAGTCAGAGTGGTGAAAAAATCGGTGACGGGGACGTAGAAGATGCAAATGGTTGTTATGATGGGAACGACGTTTCCCAACAACAACCAGAGAGACCTATGTCATGGGAAGGAGAATTGTCTGATCAAGAGATGTCTTCCAATACAATTACAAATCAAGTATGTATCTTGGTAACTTGTTAAATTTATCAATGTTGTTTTATAAAACAAAATTGTTAATTCTCAGATTATTGCTTTGAGACAACTCTCAGGATTTGACTTTTCAAAAAATTGAAGTCTGTTGAAAAAAATTGAATTTAACTGAGTAAATCTGAAAATACTGAGAATAATTGTAAAATATTACAAAATTCTAGGAATTTTTTAGCATATATGATTATTTTTAAGAAATTGTATATATTTATTTATTATCCTTTTATCATTATATTTATTTTATTATAGGATACACATGAAGATACATCAATGGAAGGTGTTCAAATATGTGGTGCAAGTCCTGGACCTATAGAGCAGAAATTTCCTATAAAACCAGAACCAGATTTCCGATCCAGTCCTGGATTTACATTTGGTTCTTTTCATGATACAGGATTACCTCTGACTCATGGTCATCAAATACAACAACAACAACAACAACAACGCAACATTGAAAATCTTGAACAAACACAACAAAACGATTTGCCTCTTCTTGTAGGAAAATTACTTGGTGGTTATAATAGTTCAACTCCAAATCATAGTCCAGTTTTAAATCCTAGACATCATCTGACAAAGCATAGCCACACAAGATCGCAGGTAATATAATTGATTTATTTAGTGATATGTATTTTAGAATTCATTATTTAAATATATTTTTATTTTTAATTTCATATTTTTAAGTACTGTTTACAACAAAAATATGATAGTTTAGATATAATTTAAATAATAGTTAAGAAAATAGAAACTAAATAAAAAAAAACTACTTAATATTATTGACATTTATTCTATTATTTTTCTGAAAAATTTTACAACTTTTTTATAGCATATTCATTCTTTCATGATTTTTAAAACAATTTGTTTATATATATATTTTCATAAACCAGTTTTAAAGACATATTTTTATACATCTTCTGAAATAGGATTTCATAGAATAAATAAAATTATTATTAATTAAAAATTATAAATAATAATGAATAAAATTCATATGTAAGTACATGATAAATTATAAAATGTTATTATCATAATTGCTAATATTTTTAAAATCTTTCAGGTACCATCACCAGATTCGGCGATTCATTCCGCATACAGTGTATTTAGTTCACCAACGCAAAGTCCTCATGCAGCTCGTCATTCTGCTCTAGGAGCAGGAAGTCCAGTTCCATCTTCATCATTATCTTTGTCGCGACATAGTTTCAATAATTCGACTTCTTCATTATCTTTATCGTTATCACATTCGCTTTCGAGAAACAATTCAGATGCCTCAAGTAGCTGTTACAGCTATGGCTCTCTCAGTCCACCCACACATTCACCCGTCCAGCAACCAAGACATCCGCAACATCATCAACATCAAGTTGCTCAAGGAAGTCCACTTCATCTTCCGGCTACAGCCTCACCTGCCATTTCTCATCACTATTCTTCCTCTGCACCGGGTTCTGAATTGTCTCCTGAAGGACACGCTGCTACAGACGATCAAGAAGATTGTCGAATACCGTCAGCACCGTCTGGTATTTCAACTAGGCAACAATTAATTAATAGCCCGTGTCCAATCTGCGGAGATAAGATTAGTGGTTTTCATTATGGAATCTTCTCATGCGAGTCGTGCAAGGGATTTTTCAAACGCACCGTCCAAAACCGGAAAAATTATGTGTGCCTTAGAGGCGCGGGCTGTCCCGTTACTGTCGCTACAAGGAAGAAATGCCCCGCCTGTCGATTTGATAAGTGCCTCAATATGGGTAAGATAAAAGAAAATTAAATATAAAATTTATAGATCGATTTTAAATGTAATTAAAAACTTTAAAAAAATTGTATTAT